TTTTAGTAATGTAAATAATGGAATGACATTGATCCGCTTAACTGGTGAGACTATCAAATGAAAGTCTTGCTAATGCACACTTCCCTTCGGTGTAACGCTAGAGCGCAGAGGTGTTAGCATTGCAGGTGGCTTGTGGCGGAAGGAGCTTTTTCGTTTTCGTTAAGAATAAATCATCTTGGAGGAAGTTTTCTTTTAAAATTGCTTGCATTAGCTATTTGTTCTGCTAATTTCATGTCACACGGACTGTTTCGCCTTGGTTGATCTCTTAGTTGGGCGAATGCTTCTTTAGGTTTTACTCTCGGCGTCTTAAGACATATCCATAATCTTAAGCCACTTTTATTCCTATCAATTGATTTCGTCATGTTTCTAAACTTGTTGTGAATGTTTTTGTGTCTTTCTAAGATATTCGTTCGTTAAAAATAATTTTTGCGCGCTGTGATCTACTCGAAGAATTTTTGATTTTCATAAGAATTTATTCGTTCACCTGTTGTTCATGTGAAAACTCGAATGCGTTCATGTGATTCCTTCGAGTTTGCGTATTAAATCGCGTAATTCTGTTTCTTTCTAGGATAAACAGTTGGTAATTTTAACTAGCCTCACAAAATGTATGAGGAAGATGAAGCTGAGGAGATGCCCTTTGAGGGTGATGACGATGAGGAAATCTCATCCGAACAGTGGCAGGTAATAAATAATTCCAAGATTCTTACCAAATTCATTCACTTTCAATTGTTTGGTGTTGCTCATTGGCGTTGATTATTCTTTGAGGNGTTCATGCTTATGATTTTTATGCTTTTTGACCGAATGCCTTTGACTAACCTTCATCCAAAATTGCGGTCGGGGTTTAAGCTATCAAAGGAACCTGGTTCCTTTTTTTGTAGCCGTACAGTCTACAATGTGAACAATAGTGATAGGATGTCTGAAATCAACAGATCAAGAGTTTCCTCCACAGTAATGAGTTTGATATCATAAATTTTCGAATGTAAAGAATGGTGATAATGAACATTATAAAAATGATTAAAGGAGGCATGTTGGGTGGTGATATCGGCGTATTTCGATGAGAAGGGTTTGGTGAGACAACAATTGGACAGTTTCGACGAATTTATTCAGATGAATGTTCAACGAATTGTCGAAGACTCACCTCCGGTTGAATTGCAGTCGGAAGTTCAGCATTATTCTGGTGAGATTAGGCAACGCATTTGCTTGTCTCTTCGTGTTTTGACCCTTGAAGTTTGAAATATGTTTCCGTATCTCGTTTCCGTATTCAATATTCGATAAGTATTACAATGCAGGTGAAATAAATTCATCACAATAGCATATTGCAGTTGAATAGAATCAATGGTTCTTACACTGTCACGCTTCATACCTCCCATCCCCCCGTTCACACCTTTGGCCCCACTAATTTTTTTTATAATTTTTTTTCTGAGATTGTCATTCCTCATCCAACAATCTAAGCAACCACAGTCTCCCTCTTCTCTGACAATTGTTGCATTCCGCTGACAGTTCAAAAGGAAATCAAGAAATTAATCAAATGATCAAGAAATTTCCTGTCAAAAACTGGTCGTTGGCATTAACAGAACTGCTTTCTTATAATCGAAACCACATTTTGAAAACACTTCCAAGCATAATAGATGAAACATAGAGTACACTCATCACTAATTTATCAACCCCTCAGTCCCACACTAGGATCTTCGAATGTGTGATGACCATAATAGTTGAGTGTAACTAGTAATTGTTAAGGTGAAATCGAAAATCCGACAAAATTTGCGCTGAAACTCGATCAGATCTATTTGTCAAAGCCAACACATTGGGAAAAAGATGGCGCTCCGACACCAATGATGCCGAATGAAGTGTGTCTTTGATTCATTTTAACCTGTTGTTTTCTGTTTGTTTATTTAAATTACCTGGATTGGCCAGGCTATCAAAAATGTTTGTAATGTTGCTGGCCGCAGTTCACTGTTTATATCACATCTGTCATTTATTGCCTGTTCTTGTAATCGGATCCAAATGATACAAAGAAGAGCACTTATTTACATACACTGCCAGTGAAAATTTCTGATTTTGGATTGCTGCTTGACTGCCAATCTTATGTTTTACTAGACTTTTTGAAGAAAAAGTTATGAGGTCAGTAGCGGACAAACTATGAATAATCTGTGTCTGCTTTTGAAGAGCGATCAAATACGAATGAAGGATTAGATTTGAGAAAGATGTGAATAGAAGGATTACGTATGGAATATTTTGGTATGAGGAACGTTTGATTATGTGCATGTTATTATGATGAGCGTTTTCCAGGCGCGTCTTCGTAATCTGACATACTCATCACCGTTGTATGTGGATATCACTAAGACGGTCTCCCAAGATGGCGAAGATGCAAAAGAAGTCAAATATGAGAAAGTTTTTGTTGGAAAAATTCCCATTATGTTAAGGTACTNTTGTTATTATTATTATTTCTGTTTGCAGATCATCGTACTGTATGCTTTCGAACATGTCCGATCGAGATCTCACTGAGCTGAATGAGTGCCCGTTGGATCCGGGAGGATATTTTATTATCAATGGCTCCGAAAAGGTTAACGAATTGTTTTGTTTGTTCAGTTCCAATTGAAATGGTTGTGGGTTTTGTTTTTGGTTAATGCTATGATGTATTAATTTGTGTTTAGAATGGATGCGGAATTTGTTGAATTATTTAAGAATAGTTCAAAGCATTTTGTTGTTTTGATTATTTCTTGATTAAGCTTTGTATTGTTTTGACTCAATTGATATTTGGTTTACTAATAATTGTATTGTGATAGGTTGATGGTCATTCTGTGTTTTTAGGTATTAATCGCACAGGAGAAGATGGCCACGAATACAGTGTATGTTTTCTCGATGAAAGATGGCAAATACGCTTATAAAACGGAGTGTCGTTCGTGTTTGGAGAACTCGAGGTTTGTACTGGGCTGTTGTTATTTCGTACTTCATGTGTCATATTATGATAGTATTGATCTTTGAGATGTCGCATGAATGCGGTTTGTTTCTCCGAAAATTTTTCAAAAGTTGATTCATAAATATCTCAAGTTCCGGCTTTGATAACATTGGATAATGAGAAATATTCTTTTTTGTTTGCAGTCGTCCTACGTCAACGCTCTGGGTGAATATGTTGGCACGAGGAGGATCGTCGAAGAAATCGGCAATGGGGCAGCGAATCATTGCAATTCTGCCATATATTAAGCAGGTTTGTTTGTTTCGTGAAACTGGTCTTAATGATGAGTTGAACTTGTAAATTGTAGATTATTACAGAATTTCATTATTTCAGAAGGATTCGTTTTTGTTGTTTTTGGAAAAATTTGCGATATCTAAATGTGTAGAATTGTTCGCTTATCGTTCATTTCTTGCAGGAAATTCCAATAATGATCGTATTCCGTGCGTTGGGTTTTGTGTCGGATCACGATATTTTGGAGCATATCATCTACGATTTTGAAGATCCAGAAATGATGGAGATGGTGAAGCCAAGTTTGGACGAGGCATTCGTCATACAGGAACAAAACGTAGCGTTGAATTTCATTGGTTCGCGTGGCGCAAAACCGGGTGTAACAAGAGAGCAACGTATCAAGTATGCAAAAGAGATTCTTCAAAAGGAAATGTTACCACACGTTGGCATATCGGACTTTTGTGAAACGAAGAAAGCTGTTAGTTGTGTTTTACACTCGTTTGTTGGGGGATTTTCTTTTTTGATTGAAGATTCGCTTGTGAAACTCAATTTTACTTCATAGTTTTCAAGTGTTTCCTCAAGATTTATTCAGTTATAATTCGTAGATGTTGAGCATTTCATTTCAGTATTTCATTGGTTATATGGTACACCGTCTTTTGTTGGCTGCATTGGGTAGACGTGAGCTGGATGATCGTGATCATATCGGCAACAAACGACTGGATTTGGCCGGACCCTTGCTGGCATTCCTGTTCAGAGCACTCTTCAAGAATCTGCTCAAAGAGGTTCGATTGACTGCGCAAAAATATATCAACAAGAATGGCGATTTCATTCTGGATGCATGCGTTAAAACAACCACGATAACACGAGGTCTTGCCTATTCGTTGGCCACTGGCAATTGGGGTGATCAGAAGAAGGCGCATCAATCCAGAGCTGGTGTTAGTCAGGTACGTTGGTGAGGTTGACATTTCTCGAAGAAATCCTCTTGTTTTCATTCCATAATAGCAGTCTAATCTTATTATCATCATAACATTCATTTGGTTGTAGTCCTTGAACCGTTGAATAGTAACCACGATAGGTGATATTATGTAGTAAATTCGTGCTGGTTAGCATCATGATGACATATTAATCATGTTGTGATAAGAAATAATAAACGATATGTGTATAATGTGATGGGCACTTAATAGACTGTGCATATTTTGAAGGTGCTGAATCGTCTCACCTACACAGCCACTCTCTCACATTTGCGTCGTTGTAATTCACCGATTGGCCGCGAAGGTAAACTGGCTAAACCGCGTCAGCTACACAACACCCAATGGGGCATGGTGTGTCCAGCAGAAACACCCGAAGGTCAAGCGGTCGGTCTTGTCAAGAATCTAGCCTTGATGGCGTATATATCTGTCGGAAGTTTACCCGAACCAATTCTGGAGTTTTTGGAGGAATGGTCGATGGAGAATCTCGAAGGTTGGTTAAGGCTCTTGTTAATTTCCTCACTTTCTCGTCTGTTCTTCGCAACCTAGCAAGATATTATATCGGAATTCGTTGTAGCTCAGTTGTTCACTAATAATACCTGATCTGTTAGGCAGCTGATATCAAATGTGGAATAGATTGTGTTTTGAGAAAGATTTTTGGAACGGTTTTGAGTGTGTTTCAGAAGTGGCACCGTCAGCGATAGCTGATGCGACGAAAATATTTGTGA